AGTTACCCCAAACCCTTAAAGTATTTTGTGGTATGCGAAAAGTAGGTGTAATTAGTTGTTCCACCCCAACCAATATAACAATGAATATTTTCTGAAATGCTAAATTATGATTTTCAATCTGTTTTCCTGACTGACGATAATACGGATTCATATTCCTATTGTACAGAAATTATGATAACAATACTCTGCCACTCACTCACATTTAAAGCGGGGGAATCATCAGCTGCGCATGTGTCAGATGGCCATAGCGTGTCAATGTTTACAAACACGCGTCTACCCATGAGTCTTCGCATTTTTAGCGTGTGTTGTTATCGTCGCATGGGACTCCATTCCCGCAGGTGACGACCCTCCCGCTTTAAGGGATAAACTGGATTCAATTGTATGGTATGGTGTTACTTATTTTATTTGAGCGCTGTAACTCCTTTGATTTTATCGACTCATTTTATTTCTTCTATTTTATGTTATAAGTGTTATTTTGTGTATTATTTTTGTGTTTTGTATCGTTTGATTGTCTCAGATGTTAATTAGTTGGACTTTTGCCTATGAATGAATGAATAAATAAAGTAAATAAATAACAATGCAATCATGCTGCTTTACCTTTAGTAAATGCTCGTCCCACTTTACTAATGCCCCTTTGTCGGTCACAAAACGATTTACAGATTCTCTAATTTCTATGCTCACTCCGCACCATTATTTCGACAACTTGGTAACCTTGAACTAAACAATCTCTGTAAACTCAACTCATGCCTTTTCATTTTTGATCTAAAAAATAAACACACTGTCCATGATAACAAGTCTGTCTATTACTCAACATAATATGACATATGCCTCTGTCAAACACTGGAGCACTCTGAAACATAATCAAATATCTTTCAAATCATTTACATAATTATTATTTATATTTACTTACGTATTTAATTATTCATTTATTTTCTGTAAATGTTGCAGTAATATTGCTAGTTTTCATTCAGCTTCTCCAATAAGTAATATTTTTCAATTTGCTCGTGCATCACTTTTGGGGGACGCAGTGGAATATTCCCAGCATGCAACATTGTCCTATTATTGTTATTTCCGGATAGTCTCTTCATGTGCGCTCTCAGTTTTGTCAAATAAATAAATTATTTTAACCTTATTTATCATTGTTTTTGTATCATAATTGCAGGGAATCTACTAAACGTAAAATAGTGAGTATTTAGATTGTTGTATGAATGATTGCATGTAGTTCCTTCCACAAACAATATGACGTATTTTGAAATATAGATCTAGTGTAAACCTATTTATAGGATTATCA